CGTAAAGCCAGCCTAGATGCTCGTCTTTGTACTTTCTCGACTGCTTTTATGTCTTTGACAAGATATGGATTCCACACAGGTGCAGCGTATTCAAGAATGGGTCTAACAAGCGCAACGTATAACATTGAGAAAACCTTGGTGTTTGCTGTACCAATTGATCGTTTGATAGTTCCTAGAATTTTGTTTGCTTTATTAACTATAATACAAACATGTTCACTCCATGTTAAGTCACGCGAAACAGTAACTCCAAGATCTTTAAATCTTTCTGTAGTTTTCAAGATTGATGTTCCTAAAGTATAACTTGATTTTGACGTGTCATTAGTGTGAGTTAACCGCATGGTTTCGCACTTTTTCACATTAAATTTTAATTGCCATGTATGTGCCCACTCATTAAGAATATGTAAGTCATTTTGCAAAATATACGTATCCAAGACAGGATCTTTAATTTCTCTATAAATTTTGGTGTCATCGGCATACAACTTGACTTTGGATAGAATACAGTCTGTTATATCATTTATGTATATGAGGAACAAAATTGGTCCCAATATTGTACCTTGTGGGGTACCTGAGGACACTGGTGACCATTCTGAAAAGGTCCCTCTAATTACAACACGTTGCTTCCTGCCTGTAATAAAATGCCTAAACCATGCCAATAAGTTCCCTTCTATACCATAACTTCTTAACTTCCGAATCAGTCTTTCATGTGGCACGCTGTCAAACGCTTTTGCGAGATCGAGAAATATAATGTCGGTGGGCACACCAGAGTTCCTGGACCTTACCCAATCATCGACAGTTGATAGTAGTTGTGTTACTGTTGACTTGCCTTTCAAATAAGCAAATTGATTCTCGTTCAAGATATTCTTTCTACACCAAAAGTCAAGAAGTCTACTTCGAACAATTTTCTCACCTATTTTGCATATAGCCCTGTAAGAGATATCTGACGATAATTTTCTCTGCAATTCTTCGAACCTTTTTTAAAAATTGGTGTAATGTTTGCAGATTTCCACTCTTTGGGTAACATGCCCATCGAGAATGATTTATTTAACAGAAGAGAGATTGAATGTGCCAGCTCCGTTGCACATACCTTTAAAATACGTGCAGAGATATTGTCAGGGCCTGGGGCCTTTTCTACCTTGAAATTTAGAAGAAGCTTCCATACTTCATCAGCAGAACAACATATGTTCTCCAATCTTTCATCCACAATGTAATCAAGCACTGGAATATTGTCATAATTTTCAACTGTAAAAACAGAAGAAAAATAAGAGTTCATACTATTTATGTATATGTATGTATATGTATGTATATGTATGTATATGTATGTATATGTATGTATATGTATGTATATGTATGTATAGGTACGTATAGGTACGTATAGGTACGTATAGGTACGTATAGGTACGTATATGTACGTATATGTACGTATATGTACGTATATGTACGTATATGTACGTATATGTACGTATATGTACGTATATGTACGTATATGTATGTATATGTATGTATATGTATATATATGTATATATATGTATATATATGTATATATATATACACCCATTTGCAAAAACGTTGGCCGCAGATAGATAGATAGATATATATCTATCTCATTCCAGGCTTAGGACTGGACAAAGGCTGGTTTAAAAGGAAGGAAGGACAAAAGATTTTATTTCATCAAAATTACATAGATATTAATAGTCCATAGCATAGTCAATAGAAGTACCCACACGATGTTGATCTAATAAAGAGACTACCACCCATTTGTGTTGTGTGTGTATTCCTTCCTTTTAAACCAGCCTTTGTCCAGTCCCAAGCCTGGAATGAGAAATTGGTGAGGGGAAGGAATTATATAGTATGTAGTTACTGTGGAATCGATCATGGTAAGCAATAGTGATATTGTCTTTGCTTGTAGCTCCTCATATTCGTCTAAATTTATAATACGCACGCTTCAGCTTGTGCGCTCTATAATCTCTATATATGTATGTATATGTATGTATATGTATGTATATGTATGTATATGTATGTATAGGTACGTATATGTACGTATATGTACGTATATGTATGTATATGTATGTATATGTATGTATATGTATGTATATGTATGTATATGTATGTATATGTATGTATATGTATATATATGTATATATATGTATATATATGTATATATAAAGATAAAATAAAATAAACTTGGTTTACTTCATAAGATTTTATTCACTACAAACTTGTTTCGTATGACAAGCAACGCTTGCCACACTCATCAGGTGAATTTAAATGTCGCGCTATGTTGTTGCCAAGGTTATATATACTATATACATGTTTGACGTAAAACGGAAAGCTATAGTGTTAAATTACATATAAATATATACAGATTATATCAAGTAATATTGCTTAAGAGAAATTTGTTTCTATGCCTGCATTTCGATAACAGTTCATTTCTTGAGTTTAAAGAACAAATTTCAGGGTGGTAAATTATGATAAATTTTTCATGTGTACAAAGGCTGCAGCG